ATATATATATATATATATATATATATATATATTATAAATTAACTGATTGAAATTATGAATTTATATATGCGTTTAAAGCTCAGAAAATTTAAAAATAAGTTATTCCAATATTCGCTTGAAGAAGAAACGGAACTAATGGTTTTAATTTAATTATATAATTAAATTTTAAGTTTTTAGCTTCCATTTTTTGAAACATGGTTATTACTGTGTAGCGAAAAAAAACATATTTCCAATCAGTTACTTTATAATATTTATGCTCTGTAAATTTACATTGAGCACTGTTTTGTAAAAATAAAAATAAAAGATATCAATAAGAACACCGGATTATACATCTGTGTGTGTCGGTGTGTGTATGAAGAAATATAATTTTAAAGTGTCCTATATTTATGGGATAAAGTACTCAATATCAACAGAAAACTGAAAATAATAAATAAAAATTTTAAAAATAATAAAAATCAAGTAAAATAAATTAACCCAAGCAAATAATAAACAAATTAACAAACCACTCCCGTTAGAATAGAATAAATAAAATTAAAAAATAAATACATAAAAAACAAAATAACCAATCCAAATAAATGACCAAAGTAAATAATAAACATCAAAAACCGAAAAGAGTAACTAAAATATACAAAATAAAAAATAATTAAATAAATAAGAAAAAACAAGTAAAATAAATTAATCCAAATAAATAAACAAATTAACAAACCGCTCCCGCTAAAATAATAGAACAAATGAAAATAAAAATAGGCAAAACCAAGTAAAAATAATCAATCCAAATAAATAAATAAAATAATAATCAAATTAAAAACTGACCCACACCAAAATAACAGAATAGACTACAACAATCAATCTAAAAATTGGACGAAAAATAGCATTATCTTCCCAGACCAAAACAAACTATTATATAAGCGACCTAAGCAAAAACCCCTCTAAAATTTACTACGTTAATAAAACATCGAAAACCGAAAAGAATAGATAAATATATAGAATAAAAATAAATAAAAACAAGTAAATAAATTAACCCAAATAAATAAATAAACAAGCCACTACCGCCAAAATAACCGCTAGAATGAACTACCCACAATGCACCACTGACCCATATATATAAATAGTGAGAAAAAATCCCAACACTCGCAGCCTTATGATTGCGTCTAGCTTAAAACAGCCTGTAGCCTCTGAGTATTGACTTTAATATTTACTTTTATATATATATATATATATATATATATATATATATATATATATATATATATAATCGCGATGTGGTATTGGTACAATGTATCCCATTGCTACTTGCCGGATGGTTGGGTTATAGAAAACCGGTCCTCCTCCCACGCTTTTCCGATGAGTTTGTCTAGACACCCCAGAACGATTAAAAACAACATGTCAGAACCGTATGGACCTTCCTGCGGTATGAACGGCTATCTACCCCATAGCCATTTTCAGGAAGCTAGAAGTACCTGGGTTGGTATCCAGGCGCGTAGTAGGTGTGACGGTGCTCTAGTTCTTGTTAGATCCTGCATCTGGGTGATGATAGCCCAAATTCAAATTTTGAGAATTTTTACTGATAGGTCATCTGAATTATTATTTTGTATCATTAACAAGAGTCAAGCACCCAAAATCATTAATATGCTTTCTTTCGCCTGTTGTTAGGGGTTCATGTCACTAGGAAAATGTTTTATTTCTTTACCTGGTAACATTTCTCGGCACAAAAATGGTGAAAAATATCTTGATCGATAAATGAATTGAGTATTGGTTTTAACTTGTTACTAAAAATGTTTCTTTATTAATACGCTTTTGCTCGGTGGTTTTGTAGTCGCATTGGTGGAATAAGAAGATATTAAAATTTGTCAAATTTCGTCTTCCGCATTCCTTGTTGGCTAAGGAGTATTTTTCTGGCTAATTTGTCGGCGATGAACTGTCATACTTTGTCGGAGCTTCTGTCCAGTTTGGCCAATGTAAAGTTCGTGGCAACCTTTGCATGTATATATATTAAATTTTCCGAGTTGCGCAAGAAATCATTTTGATTTTGGATTCGTCTTTGACGTGAAATAAAAGCCGCTAATTTCACTTCAAAGATGGATCTATAGAGTGTCAGTATTTGCTATAGTGTGTCAGTATTTCTTTTAAATGAGGAATTCTTGAAATTCAAGAGATTTTGTTTTTCAAGCAATTTTTTTAAATATTTTTGATATTGCTTTCTTTTCAATCTTGGTTGGCCTCGTCCAGGACTAAATACATTACAAGCAAAACCTGGCTTCATATATAGACATTCTATTGAAATTATCCCAACTGGCGACAGACTTCATAAATGTCAAAAAGGCCAACTCGTATGCTGGGAAATCAGTTCAAAAAAAGTTAGAAAATTGCAACATCTACGCTGTATAGTTGCAATTTTTTTTTGTTTTTGTCTTTGTTTTTTGTTGTTGTTGTTGTTTTGTTTTTTGGGGGTTTCTTTTTTTTGCTTTCTTGCATGGCTAATCGTAAACTTCCCGAGTGCAACACACTGCGCCTTCTCGGTCTAACGTTTTTCGCTGATATGAAATGGAACGATTATATCAAGTCGACTGTTCAGTCTGCTGTTACGAAAGTTGTTTCACTAAATTTGTGCTAAACATTTTTCTCACCCGAATCTGTTTTTCACTTTTATAAGTCTATCATTCATGCGTCCATTGAATCTACTGCCTTTGCAATACAGATATTCCTGACAGAATCCAAAGAGGAATCTGCAATCTTATTGGTCCGGACCTGGTATCTCGGCTTCATTCCCATTCATGCAGCCTGACGTAGCTTCGCTGTACCTTTTCTAGAAATACTTATGATAATTGTTTTGATGTGCTCTCCTCCTTGGCATCTTGATTTCATGAATTTAAGTAGGTACCTCCACAAATTCGTAATACGAAAGGTTTTAATGATTTTTTAAAAATGAAAACGCTTTCTTAAAGCTATCATTTTAGCTTTAATTGAAGGCTAAACGATTTAAAATTTACTATTTCCAACAAGCAAAAAACTCTTTGGTGTATTTCAAACAGTAATTATATTTGTCAGCATCGTTGTTCTTCAGTAAAATCGATGAAATCGCTTATTTTGACACGTTTGTAAACATAAGCTAATTCTAGGTTTTAAAAATCTAGCAAAAATAAAATATATATTTCTGAAACGTTATTTGAGGAAAATTAGCAAATTTAAAGGTAAATTAATCTGATTTTAAACAAATATTATTACTAAAAATGTTGTATACAGGCATTTCTTAATCACAGGGTCTTGTTTTTCTGACGTATTGATCGATTTATTGACCGCCTGGCGTGTTGAATAGTTAAGTATGGTAAAGCAGAATTGTAGCAGACGATAAATTTTAAAGGAGAAAATAATTCACTACAACAAAAATGAGTAGAGAGTGCCTTAGTAAATTTCCCCATTCCTGGCAGAACTTCTATTATTACAGTGTAGGATATGTACTAACAAAAGTGTGGGAAAAAATTTTAAAAAATCAAAAGAAACTAAATGAAATTTGCTGGATTAAAAAAAGAAATAAATTTAAAATTTCCAGCATCCCTCGTTCGTACGCATATGTAGTTGCACCAACATAAGAAATTTAGTCCGATAAAGACCTAAAGGTCGAAACGCGTCATACAAAAACTTTTTCCACTTTGTCATATATTTTCGTTATATATATAGATATAATGCGAATGTTCGTGTCACACCATATCATACCACTTTTGGAATCAGGCCGACGCCGTGAGCAGATTAAAACTCATTCCGGATCCGGATCCGGACTCGCAATATTGAAATTTTGGATTTCCAAGTTTTCATTACTGCCATTATTTTCGAAGAGTTTTTTACCTGACTTTTTATTTTTTTTTATTTATTTTTTTTTTTTTTGCAACGTTTTTTTTTTTTTTTTACGATAACAAATTTTATAATTTGGAAATAAATTTGGGAATAATCGAAATTAATATCCAAATCCAGCGAATGTCACCTATGAAGTAAACATAATTGTGTGTACGGAAAGTAAGGGCCTACTTGCATCAAATCGTCTTTAAATTAAATGGCAACAGAAGGATTATTATTGAACTTTTAAAAGGTAAGCTTAAATATTAATGCAATACTTAAATGCAGCGATCAATTTTGATTTCTTTTGTAGTTTATTGTTGCCTATCACATCTACTCCTCCATAGCGAATGTAATGAAGGCACAATCAAGAGCCCTCCGCAGGAGCTAAATTAAATGCCGTGTTTAAGCCGTGTTTAAGCTAGTATATACATATACACACACACACACACTCTCTCTCTCTCTCTCACACACACACACACACACACACACACACGCACACACACACATATATATATATATATATATATATATATATATATATATATATATATATATATATATATATGTATATTTTCCTCAAATAATACCGTTAGCTAGAATTTTTTGACAGTTTGAAAATAAAGACTGAAATACCGGTTGCGAATTTGTAATCACCATCTTGAAATCGTTTGGCTTTGATTCTCGAAAAATTTTCGAAATATATGTAAAAAAGTTGAAATAAAAATATTTCCAAGTCAAAAACGATTTCATGACTAAAGTAAAAACAGGTAAAATTATGTGTTTTTTATGACTTCTTTGTTAGGACAAATCATAACAAACGCATAAGCTATGCATTTAACACTGTGTTGATGTCAGAACCAGAAAGAAAAAGATAAGTTCTCCTAGACAAAGGTAGTAAAGGAAAACAATAAGAAAGAACTACCAATTGTAAGATTGACTGACTAATTTGGTTTTTACGGCTTATCAACCCTTTGTAGGTTCTTTCAAGCCAAAATATGTTTCGGGTTGTTGGACGTTGTTTATTGCACCCAGTGGGGAATTGGACGTTCCAACGTAGCCCATTTGGCGTCACTGATTCGGCGTGGCCGATTTGACATAGGAATTTCTCGGCAGAGGAACGATTAGGCGTCAGATTACTACTTTTAGTACTTCGTCGTTATAGTCAAATGTGCTCTCTCTCTCTCTCTCTCTCTCTCTCTCTCTCTCTCTCTCTCTCTCGCGTCAAATTAGTACCTCGTCGTTATATGCCTGAATAGTCCAATTTACGAAAAAGTGTAGATGGGAGCATTCTTATATTTAAGAAAAGTAGTAGTTGGATGCATTTTTATGTTTAAGAAAAGAACTAGTTGGAGGCATTTTTATATTTAAATAAAAGAGTAGTTAGAGGTATTTTTATATTATATTTCCTTCAGTGCAACTTCATATTTTTCAGTCACCAAAGCCATTTTATTCCAAAATGGAAGCAAATATTTTATCAAAACGTTGGAGAAACAAATTGATACGCAATGAAGCCCTTTTTATTTTTGACGCAACGATCAAGAGAGATCCTGAGTTTCGTCGATGTGAACAGAAAGATCGATGTAAAGTGAGATTACATGTGAAGTTTTTAATTTACATTATTACATTAGTGTTTTAATAGGATCCTTAATTCCTTAAATGAGTTTAAAAAATTCAATTTGAGAGTTGGGTGTTTTCAATGCTTTTAATCATTTTTTTTAGGAGGTGGGGTGTTACCACCGGTCAAAGGAAGTAACGTCGAAACAGTCTGACGCCTAAACGGCTGTGCCGAATAGTCCAATTATTTTTCTGACGCCGAATCAGCCACGCCAAATGGGCTACGCCGACACGTACCAAACCCCACCCGGTGTTCCTAAGCGGAATCACATCTACCTGCTGATTGGGCTCGGCACTGCTTCATGTCGTTGATCCATCGCTAACCGGTGTTTTCAACGTTATTTAACCGTAAACTCAATCCAGGAAGATAGAAAGTATGGTCGTTAACAACAGGGGTAGACTAAAATGTGAGCTAAAAATTGGAAACATTGCAAGCAACAATTACATCAATTTTACTGAGAAAAATAAAGCTAACATTTGCTTTTGTGGGAAGTAAAGCAACAGATGATGGGAAAATATGGCACCAAAATCCAATCCTTTATTATCCATCCTCGACAGAGTTCAGAAACAATTACGCAGCCTTGTGGGTGATGAAATATTTTCTACCCTCCAACCCTTATCACAGGGACGAAATTTTGTTAGCCTCTCACTACTCTGCCGCTATTTCCATGGCAAATGTTCAGACGAGTTACATTTCTTAGTTCCACCAGTTCAGATATTCACAGCTAGGACCTGTCATTTTCGTGGTAGCAAACCATCCGCATCTCCTTCATGTTCCTTTGATAAGGAGTAAGTTCTACCGAGAGATCTCCTTGCCCAAAACTTATATTTGTGCAACAAACTCCCGAGTGAGTGCTTCCCTGACAACTACAATCTTGGTCTCTTCAAATCCAGTGTCAACACATATCTATTCTTAATGTCCTCATAATGTGGATTTATTAATTCCTCCTTACCCCTCCCTTATAGCAATTTCGCTCAGTAACACTCTACCTTGTGTAGAAGTTGTATCGGATAAACTAATAGTAAAAGATTAAAAAACAATTTGTATAATACCAGGAGTAATCAATGAATCCTAGATTGAATATATAAAAGGAACGGATTAATTTGACGGTTCATTTGTCTCTATTTTAACTGTGAATTCCTTCTCTATAGTTTATTGAATTTCGATATATTGTCTCAAAACTTGTTTCATTGCATCTCAATATAAAAACTTTCTAATAATTTAATTCGTTTTATTTATTAGATTATGCCCGTTCTTAGATTCTATATTTTGTAATTTCTCTTCCATCCATACATTACTCAATCTTCTTTTTTCCTACTTATCTGTTTTATTATATTCCATTCTACTATTGGCGTTTTTCTCTTTCAGTTTCAATTCCCATACATAGCTTGACAACATGGTGTTATTCTTATATTTTTCGTTTATGAATGTCCGTAGATAGTTTGCATATCTCTCCTTAAATTCTTTCCCAGTTGCTCCGATGCAAAACCCCTCCTCCCCTGCTTTATCTTTCGTTCTCAGATACCTTTGTCTATTAAAGTGATCGTCTTGCTTCAACTTGGTCTTGAAGTCGTCGCCATTTTTGTTGTATTGTTGCTAATCTTTTACTTCCGAGAGATATTTCCATTTCACTTTTATATTAAACACATATATTTTTTCAGATGAAAAGACAATAAGCAAAAAGCGATTTATATAATAGGAAGTGTAATTAATGAATCATCGATACAATTGAATGTTTAAAAATATAAACAGATCGAATGTATTAAATGGTCCATTGGCCTCTATTTTAGCTGTGAATTCTTTATCTTGAGTTCATTAAATCTCAATACATTGTTTCAAAACTTGTTTCATTGCATCTCAATATTAAAACTTTCTAACAATTGCCATCATTTTTCACGGCACGGATACACCTTTTTTTTTTTTTTTTTTTCTTCTTAGCGTTATATGGACCTCTATAGGTTATCTAATGGCGAAATCTAAATATTTTGTACGCAATTTTATTTCATTTTAATAATGGTTTTAGTGAAACAAGTCTTACGATTTAACCTGTCACTGGGGGAGAAGCGATGGATTCCGACCTTTCCCAAGAGTATTTGCATGTAAGTGAATATAACGAACCCAATTAAAAGTTGGCCTTCCGATTAACAATTCCGAGTTATTATCCATTACACCATCCGAACATCCAACCTTACAACACCTGGTATTCCCAAGATGTTAGACATTTAGCTACTGACAAGGCTCGACATTGCTGAACATCGGGGATCGTACGAGAACCGGGGTTTTAATGTGATATGCCTGTAAGAGGTACACTAGTTAATTTATAATTTAGTTTGTAAATGTAATTTCTGTATGAATATAAAAAACCCGATAAAACGTTATTTAATGGGTTAATTTGGCTCTGCTTTGTGAAATTATGCAGGAAATATATATATATATATATATATATATATATATATATATATATATATATATATATATATATAGATATTATATATATAAACTAATGCGTTTTCTCGAATTCTGAAATAGATATTATGAAAATCTTAATACTCAAATGCTTTGCCATTGGGCCATTATTGGCAACTAGTACTTATTGTTTTCTATTGAAATTGTTTTACAATTACACAATTAATACGAATGTAAATATGAGTCAGGTCTCGTCAAGATTTCTTTTGCCATTATTGGCAACTAGTACTTATTGTTTTACTATTGAAATTGTTTTACTATTGGCAACCAGTACTTATTGTTTTACTATTGAAATTGTTTTAGTACTGGTAACTAGTACTTATTGTTTTACTATTGAAATTGTTTTACTATTGGCAACTAGTACTTATTGTTTTACTATTTAAATTGTTTTACTATTGGCAACTAGTACTTATTGTTTTACTATTGAAATTGTTTTACTATTGGCAACTAGTACTTATTGTTTTAATATTGAAATTGTTTTACTATTGGCAACTAGTACTTATTGTTTTAATATTGAAATTGTTTTACTATTGGCAACTAGTACTTATTGTTTTACTATTGAAATTGTTTTACTATTGGCAACTAGTACTTATTGTTTTACTATTGGCAACTAGTACTTATTGTTTTACTATTGGCAACTAGTACTTACTATTGAAATTGGTAGGTTAACCGTAAGTTCTATTATAATAGTTTCTTTTTTCATGTTTTTCCTTTCTGAAACTCTCGGTCAATTTTTTGCTTCCCTGTCATTTACAATCTTCCAAAATGTAAATGCAACATCAATCACAATTTTCTGTCTTCCTGAATCTTTTCTTGTATTGTACGTCCTCCTCATTTAAGTCTTCTCATTCTCTTTCACTATCTATTATCCCTTGTCTATTTGTGATATTACCACCTTGCATGGAGTGAAATGATTTAAAAAATGACCCATAAGTACATACTCAAAATATGGAGAAGTGGTTCCATCAAAAAAGATTTTTAAGCGAAAAATGCTGCGGAGAGCTCATCATTAATGGGAATGTATTTGGAAATATTTATTATTTTCCCTATTATGTATTATTTTTTTATAATATTTTAATACTATAATATCATAATATTATAATATTATTTGAAACTGAAGAAACATCTTGATGCGTATTATATAAGAATACTCAGGATGGCACTTAATGTGTCCTGGAGTGGTTACACATCAAAGTTTCAGCAAAGATGGCTGATTTTTTATTGATTCGTTTTCCTACGGCATATTAACCTTTGAAGCTTATTTAAAGCCTGAAAATAATTTTAGATTGTAAGAACGTTTTTTAGATAATAATGGTTTAGTGATACAACTCTTACTAATTAACCTATAGCTGGGGGGAGAGGTGGATCCATGCCTTTCCCAAATGAATATAAAGTACTCAACTGGAATTGGTGCTCGTCTCTCCTATTATTACAACACACGCGCATCCAAGCCTACAGCATCTGATATTCCTAAGCTTTCACCCATCCAGGTACAGATCAGGCCCGACGTTTCTTAACTTCGGTGATCGTACGAGAACCGTTGTTTCAACGTGATATGGCCGGAAGCCAAAGAATGTGCGTCTAGCAGACATTGTATTAGACATTATGACAAAGGTGCCAAGAAATAAGTACTCTGGAAGCTAACGAAAAACAAGAGTCGTCAACACGCTGAGAGATGACTCAGGGAAGGAGACAATAGAAATGCTAAAGGATATCATCGTAGTCCGTTCAAATGGTAGAAACGTGTGAATTCTATATAGCACGCCGACGGACGACCTGGTCTATTTTACTTACTTGCTATAAATTAGCGATTGGCGTACGTTGTTGCGCCTGTAGGGAAAGATGCTGTAAATGTATGAATGCTCTATGTTTCATAACGTTTTTTTTTTTTTTTGTTTGTTTTAATTCTCATTGTGATTTTCTCTCTTCTACTTTCAGACGTTTATCTGGTGACCGTGATGATTATCGGCACTGTAACCTGCATGACAACTATCGGCATCTTACGCCTCTATCATCGCAACGATCATGAATTCCCTATTCCAGTTTGGCTGCAGAAATTTGTTAGCAGTTTCTCGCCTTTGTTGTCGAGAGGCAGCAGCAGTATCGTCAGCCAACACAGTTCACCGGAACACATGACCGAGACAGGCTGGACACGCCCTACCATCGCTGATGACCTTCACGGACAGCTTGAATGCTGGGGAGAGGAAACGGTCGGCAGTGACTATCACAGTCGACGGCGGAGCGAATCGCGAGTTTTCCAAACGACTCGGATGGGCGTCCGCCGTAAAAAATCTATGAAACAGGAGAATAGTCGAGATGGGGGCCAAACCCGACGGCCGGACTCTTGGAAGGGTGTAGCCCATGCCGTCGATCGGTTCTGTTTCAGACTTACTCTTTTCATAGTTATTTTAACTAACCTCATGATGATGATTGTGCTAGGAGCGTTTAGCTGAAAAGGGAACTTTTAAAAATCATTTAAACACTGAGAGAGAAATGACATTTTCATTCAGAAAAATATTTACAATGAAATGAATTTTTAAAAATTAAAAACAAAAAACAAAAAAAAAACAAGGAAGGTGGTGTAAATCTGAAATTGGCAACTTCATTTGTTTGTTATAGAAATCTACACGACTAACAGTTTTTTCTATAAAGGGAAATAAATGAAAGAAAGAATCAAGAACGAAAACAGTAAAAATTGGGGTCCTTCAAATGAACCTAGAGTATCTGAAAATCTAACAAGGGTACAACAAGAACGACAACTCAATATAATTGGTTCTCCTAACCAGAATAATGTTGATATAAACTAGTTCGTGCTAGTTTTGAAACATGCTTACTTTCTTGCCTGTTCTGGATTCGATAATTATAATGTTCTATAAGTATCTGCCCTTTTAGTAAGTCATGCGCATGATATATATATATATATATATATATATATATATATATATATATATATATATATATATATATATATATATCATCGAAAAAATGATGAATTTTATGGAGTGAAATAGACGCTATTTTATTTCCCTTGCTACATAAACTAAAAGATCACAATTTTTCAAATGCGGAAAACAAAACATAAGGACTCCAAAAGTCCCCTGTATGATAATCATTCCATTATCAGATGGAAGCCCTATAAAAGAAAATACACACGCACGCAATCGCAATAAAAAAAAAACGAAGACATTATAGAGCCAGATCATTTTTTACGATGCATTTTTCTTCGTTTTGACGGGGCTGTAAAAAAAAACGAATTCTTTAACCTAAAAGAAATTTGCATTTGCATTTTTACACATTTTAAAAAAAAAAAATAGGTATAAAATCCAAGTGTAGTCTGGTCTGCGGATAAAATAAATTATACAAAAATATTAACTCGACAACATAAATATTTTCTTTTAATATTCCGGACAACATTTTGAAAAATACCATCAATCTTTTTTTAAAATGTCTTGTTTTTATGATCTAAAGAGAAATGAGTTTAATATACGTCCGGTGTATGAAAACATGAGGCTTGGTCTATCATTGTCACTGAACCAATATATGTAAATATAATCCTACATATTACATACATATATACATACACACACACACACACACACACACACACACACACACACAGATATAATGTATATATATATATATATATATATATAAAGGCTTATATATGTGTGCGTTAATAGTGTATTTCTATATGTTTACCAGAGACATGTGGTGCTTGCTGACGAGTTTGTCTATAGCAACAAGCACAGATGTTCACGAAAGACGCAGGACGTTCATAGGTTTAATATAGGTATACAGAAGTGTATATACACACATACAAACCTCTATTTATATACACCTACGCCCACACCGTTTGTCAGGCGTTGTCTGACAAAACAATTTGTCTCAAAACGTTATTTCTATCTTTATTTTTTTTTGCAATCCGATTAGCGTAAAAGTTTCGGGCTATTTATTTTGTCTTTATAAGCTAAACCCCCGTATGATGTCTGTACACTTCCATATTTCTAAAATCAGTGATACTCTAATTGCATAAGTATAAAAGGAGGCATTCTCATCTTACTGCATATATAAATGTTCATTGACATCTATGATGTTGAGTTGATATGTGTTACACATTGAGGAACGCAAACAGTTAGATATACATATATACATACATATATGCAAATTAGTGTATTCAAATATTCACATATTTATATATGTTTATGCATGTCTGATTAAATAAATTACGAATATTATGACTGCTTATTTTTAACATAATCCGTTCATATTCACGGATAATTTTCTGTGTATTACAATCAAATGATGTAAGAAATACACTGTAACAGTGAAAATCATTTTTATTTCCAAAGTACTTTCCATCATTTGATTGTAATACACGGAAAAATATCCGTGAATATCAACGGATTATGTTAAAAATAAGCAGACTTAATGTTTGTAATATATATAATCAGACATGCCTAAAAGACAATTTGCTGCCTAAATACACAAATATGTATTTATGTATATGTATGTGTGCGCTATATTTATTTTGTCGTTAAAGTGCTCAATATCAGGGATAGTTGACTTCAATGTCCACTAATATATATATATATATTGTATGCCCACATATATATATGTATGTGCGTGTGTATATATCATCTTAGTAACATTTTATCGGACTCTCATGTTTTTCATTTTCATAATGTAGACATCCTTAATGTTTGCTGCTTAATAGCAATGGACATCCGACATCTTATTGACTGTTATTCGAATCTTGAGAATATATTTTGTCGACACACACATCCACAGACACGCACACACACACACATACATATATATATATATATATATATGTGTGTGTGTGTGTGTGTGTGTGTGTGTGTGTGTGTGCGCGCGTGTGTATGTGTGGCACCTCGCCGTGGTGTAATGGTTAGCAAGCTTGTCTCGCTAAACCAGTTACAACTGAATCGTGAGTTCGGTCCTCACTGGGTGTACCATACTTTCGACCTTATGCCACATCTAAGCTTCGTTATATATAAAATATAAAATATATATATATATATATATATATATATATATATATATATGTGTGTGTGTGAGTGTGTGCTTACCCCTTCGATATTGGATTGAGATACCGATTAGTCATACTGTATAATTATAAGCTTTAATATATAAACAAATTATTTTAGAGCGATTTAGGCCTATTTAACTGCTGAACTTGTTGCGTACATCCGACCGCCTCCTATGACCAGTGTCCGTGTCCAAATAAAAAATTACGACTGTTGATTTTTAAGCCAAGCTGGCAAGCTCCAAACATTCCAGTGCCCTTTTTTCATTTGGACTTGTGTCGATGAATATTTTCATCAGAGCAGTTGTTAAATTTCGTAGTGGTGGAGATAATTGTGTTGCATATTTCAGACTGGTGCCAAAAGTCAGCTTTCGAACCAAGATAAATGCCAGGATTTCGATTTCTGATTTCTCTACTTACAAAAGCTTACGCAACACAATTTTGTCTCTTCCATCCCACCCGATTTGATATTCTACCGAACAATTTTTGTTAAATATCGGAATCAGAGCACATTTTGAATTGAATGGCAGCCTGCGCATTGCTTACTAAGACTTTCACAGAGTTAAAGTAGAAAGGTATTTGGCAAGCAGAGCTCACAACCTGTTACTCGTTGGTTTGATTCAAAAAAGCACTCAGATTTCTGGCCTTATGGCAGAAAAATCTAAACCTGGTAAATATCTTAACAATTTCTGCACCTTCAACGCCTGCCATAGAGTTCTTTCTCTAATTTGGACCTTAATTGGTGCTGTACAAATCGGGATCTTTACCGAAGGAAATTTGATTCCCAAAACACCTACAAGTTTACTCTCATATATTCTCTCTGCTACCGCACATTGTTTTCGCATACCTCGCGTAATTATGTCTTTTCCGGAATTAGTATATATATATATATATATATATATATATATATATATATATATATATATAAACATATTTTTGTGTGCTAAGATGTGTATGTAAACACTAATGCATATGAACACAAACTCACACATAGATATGCATATACACATATATAGATCTGCACCATTTCCGTTTGTGCAATGCTGACGAGATAAAATTATTAAATTTTGAAGAACACACACACACACACACACACATATATATATATATATATATATATATATATATATATATATATATATATATATATGTTTGCGTGTTTTTTGCATGTATACATGTGTACGTTTGAGTGTGTGAGAGAAAATGAAAGATTTTGAGAATTATATATATATATATGATAATCATTACTCACATATAGGTATTTATAGGTGTATGTCTGGATGCATTTTTGCATGCACTGATGTACTTATATATATATGTCTGTGTATGTATGCGTGCGTGTTTTGTTATACAGAAACGTATATATGCATATATATTACATTTAATAAATCCGTCGGTATATAATACACGTTGATCCTAATGATATAAAATATTAAAACTGATCCACAAAAAGAGCTCAATGTATTTATTATTACAGAGCATATAAATTACATAACAGAGAAATCCAAAATCATTTCATATGTATAGTCTATTTCAACTAACGCCGAATTCGTCAGCCTTATTCACCAGTCCACCATCTGCGTTGAATAAGACTGAGGCATTCGGCTTTAGTTGAAATAGACTATACTCATGAGGTAATTTTGGATTTCTCTGTTATATATATATATATATATATATATATATATATGTGTGTGTGTGTGTGTGTGTGTGTGTGTGTGTGTGTGTGTGTGTGTGTAAACATATGTGTTTCTTGAAGATATCTTAAGTTCGCTTGAAATATTTACAGTTAATTTTTGGACTGACATTCGATAACGCTCAAGTTTCTTTCTTCTAAAATCTCACCAAAATATAAGTCAATACGCAGGAAGTTTTTTATATATATATATATATATATATATATATATATATATATATATATATATTAATAAAAGTCATATACAAACCAAATCAACTTAATGAAAACTCTCTCAAATGAACACCTTTCAATTTTTACCTTTGACAAAAATACATAAAAAAAAAACTGATTTGACTTTTTATCTATTTTCATTTCCTAATCACTTGCAAGGTATTTAAAATAAACAGATAAAAAAAATGATGCAGCCATTTCATGGAAGTTCGCTAGTTCATCTCGAACCCACACCCTCCGACACTTCCGTGTTATGTCCTATTTTAACAAGTTTAAAAATTGAAAAGAATAAAAACAAACTTTCTAAAATTAACAACTCAACACTTTACCATACAAACTTCACTGATTCAAACAAATGCGTACAAATATCTGTGAGAACGGAGAGATGCAAGCTAGAAATTGTCGATGTTTTTGCCGGAAATAGATGATCGAGACTTATATTTTAAAAGGAGACCGATAACCAAACAACGACAATTAATAACAACACAAATAGCGAAAGC